GAGGCTGAGGCAGAAGGATTGCTTGAGCCCAGGAGTTTGAGGTTGCTGTGAGCTAGGATGACGCCACGGCACTCTAGCCAGGGCAACACAGTGAGACTCTGTCTCAAAAAAAAAAAAAAAAGAAATATTTTCTTCTGTTCATCTAGTCTATTGTTGAAGTTCTCACTTGTCTTTTTTACTTCACTTATTGAGTTCTTCAATTCTGAGAAGATTTCTGTTTAGTTCATGTTTATGGTATCTATTAATACTTTCATTGAATTTCTCATTCAGATCATGAATTGTTTTTATAATTTTGTTGAATTATCCATCTGTGTTCTCTTGTATCTTCTTGAGTTTCTATCACATTATTATTTTGAATTCCTTTTCAGGCATTTCATCAATTTTCTTTTCTTTGGAGTCTGTTACTAGAGTATTGCATTCCTTTGAAGGTGTCACGTTTCCTTGCTTTTTCGTATTTCCTGTGTCCCTGTCGTGATATCTGAACAACTGTGGAACAGTCACTTCTTTCAATTTTACAGAGTAGCTTTTGACCTTTTTCCTGTAGATGTGCCCTGTAGTGTCAATTGGGTAAGGTGCTTTGGCTTTTGTTCTGGGTGGACACAGTAGTGTAGTCCTCATCCTACAAAAGTCTTCCCAGTCCAATGCAGTAAAAATAGTCTGAAATATTAAAAATTAAAATATGTGAAAGCAGTGTTTAATAATGAATTAGCCATTTTAAAATCAAATGCTCGAAAATATTTTAAAAGCTGATGAAATATAAGTTTGTGATGACTCTAAAAGTGATTACTAGAATCTCCCACAGGCTTTGAAAAATAACATTTTCTTTTGCCTGAGTTCATTTTTCTAAATAAGTGTTCTCTTTTCTTTTCTTTAATACTGGAAACAAGGCAAATTTTGGCTTAACATATAAGAAAGAACTTTCTAATAATAACAGCTGCCCCAGATAAAAATGACTGTTTTGAGTGTTAATAAGTTTTCCATTTCTGAAAATCAAAAGAGTTTAATGATTAAATTTTCTAACCCCTTCCAATCCTGAAAATCTCTAAGAATAATAGAATCACATAGGGCTTGTTCTTGTAATAAATCTTTATTAAGAAACTAAGCATAAAAAACAAATATTTGTGAAATTATTAAACATACTTTTGACTCACAAATAAAACTCAGCAAGAGAAAAAGAAAATAAAAGAGTCTGAGGATAACTTTACAGAATTTAGAAAAAATAAACAATGAAAGGTAAGTGGAGAGGCCAAATAGAAAATGGAAAATACCTTTTCTTAGAAGAATTATACCTTAGGATGAAACATGCTTTTTCTGGGAGGAGTTTTAGAAACTTCTTGGAATGAAGAATGACCCCCATCCCTGGCCCTGAACCAAGAAGCAGGACTGAGAAGAGCAGGTGGCCTTTGACTCACCACTGGCCTCTGGTTTACTCAGGTGTGGTGCAAGCTTAGTGGTAGATCTGAATTGTTTAGGACATTGGAAGGGTTCTTGAGAGACTGTGCAGAGAAAAAAAAATTGTGATAAACTAGCTAAAGAAAAGAGAAACTTTCAGGAAAAGGACAAGCCCTGAAATGGGGGCTTTATTGTGTTTCTGCTGTGTGTTATGTGATATGGATTATCGTTCTCATCTCTTCACAAAATTTTTCAATCAGTGCCCTATTTAGATAGATCTGTTTGGGGTGATGCTATTAAGGTGCTAAGTATGGCCTTCAAGTGTATCCAGGGTGAAAGCAAAGTTGGCCCATAAAAGCCCCCAATACCTGGATCACATGATGACAAAGAAAAAAAAATACTGGAGGTAAATCAAAGAAATGGTGAGGAAAGCAAAGCATGGACTATACATAATTTCCTCTCAAAACAAAAAGATGCCTCTAGCGAACACCACAGGGTCAGGAGCAGGAAACGAGTTTCTGGAGGCCATGGTTCCAGGCAGCTTCAAGGCACTGCCATGGAGAGGGAGCTGAGAGTCGAGAGAACTGCTGTGCAAAGCTGGGGCAGGAAGTGCAGGGCCCAGTGCAAAATACAAACGCGGGGCCTCTGTTCAAAAAGAGGGAAAAAAGTGCCAGACGAGGTACTAAAATATAAAGCATTTTTGTTTTAAAAGTTGCATTACTTATAAAACAGACCAGTGATAATTCTCATACATGGGTAACAACAGAAACTGATAAATTACAAATAATTGTAAAACTTAGGGTTTCATAATTTTCATATAATACAACTAATAATAATTTATCAATGTGATAACTTGATTGGTCAGAAGATTTTTCAGACTCACTTTTTTTTGCAAATTTACTTGTTGGATCATCAAAATCTATACTTTTAGCAACTTCAAGTTCAGTCAATATAATTGAAAATGACACCTGACACTAGGCAAATAAAAGGTTGCAGATAATTTTTAATTTTGAGAAGGAATTGTCTGCTGATGCCACTGTTAAGAGTATGTTATAGGCTCTGACAACATTAAGATGTATTTCTGACAAATTACTTCAAAACGTAAATTTTAGTACATCTAGAGCTGATGAATCTCATGAAACAATTTTTCTAACATTTAACTCCTCGTACACATCAGTTACACGGAAGTTTAATTTTAAATGCTAATTTATACAATAGCATTTTAATGTTTCCTCTGACTTTTCCTGTAACTTGTGAATGTACCACAAGGAATCAAAAGTGGTTTCATGATTTGTACATAATTCAAAATGCCTGCCTATACGTTCTGTCTGTGTATCTTCAATTACAAGGGAAAAACTAATTTCGAAATTGTCTTCCTCACTAAAAATTAGTTCATGTGAAGCTTCAAATGAAAATGGTGTTTTTTTAATCCAATGTGACTATCTTTAAAATTTAATCTGTATTTATAAGTCTGTGAATGTTTGCTTTGTAATGTAGCAGCAGTTCTCAAAACCAGAAATTCTAAATCTTTGAAGAATTCTAATAACTCTGTGAGATGCTTTCTTGAAATGTCCATGCACACAATTTTATTTTGTAATGACTTCCTGACAAAGCTTACTGCCTAAGCACTGGCTTTTCCTGCTCCAGTGCTCAGATGGGAAAGTTCATACTTCATGCATATGCCTGGGGGCAGACTCCGGAGATGACAAGCAAGCCAGCCTCCCACCCCTGATCTTGGAACTGCCCCCATGTGGAACCGTTCTCTGTCCTGTGGGCACAGCCCCTGCCTACACTCATTCTGCTGCTGCTGACACCATAGCTCCCCAATCTGAGCCCAGGTCCAGGCTCAGCCACTTCCTTGGGGCCCTGCAGGACTCTAAACTCCCCCAAGGCACGCATGTGCGTGCAGAGCCCACTCTGCCCAGAGCCTGACTGTCACGCACGGGCTGTTCCTGGACGACAACCCCGTGTGCACACTGCCGCCAGGCGCACCATCTGTGAGCATGTGTGTGCTCCACTGTCCCATCGAAGTTCACCTACAAAACACAAGTTCAAAAATAGATTATGAAGAATTTTAAGCCAGTAAACACAAAGCATTAAAGTAAGCCCAGGGCCCTTCTGAGCGGAAGACTCCGTGCAGCCTAACAGGTCCCTGAAGCCGGCCCCGCCTCTCTGTGTCACACGCTGTGCTGGATCTTCTGCGAGAAAGGTCACATGATGGAGTCAGACTCCTGGTTCAGATTCAAACTCCCAACTGACCAACTAGAATTGCAAAGCCCTAGTTTTCTTCTCCGTAAAATGAGAATAATAGCAAGCCACAACTCAATTGCTGTAGGAATTACTTTATAGCAATCCATGTAAAGCTCTTAGCACAGTGCCTAGCACAGAGTAAATGCACAATAAATTATAGCTCTCAATATTTTGTTA